ACCAGTAGAAACAGGAAACACTGGTAATGAATTATAAATATTTTGCATTTTCAGTTGTGCTAAACCTAACTCCTTGAATATCCGGTATATAACCACCAACTTCAGCTCACCTGAAATCATTCCCTGACAGCTGTGCACAATCCTTCTGCTCAAGTGAGAAAGAATGGGGATGAAAAGACTCTGTAGCTAGCCCCAATGCAAGAATATTGAAAACAGGTTAACTATCCTTATTGAGAACAAAATTGTCCTGTTTAGAGCACCTCAGGCTCCATGGCATCAGCAAACTGCATTTTCACTTGAAAATTAAAATTTAACCAGAAGGTAAATACTACTACTACTACTACTACTACTACTACTGATTTAGCAATGATAATGGCAATGATAATGGCAATGATAATAACAATAATAAAAATAATTATGATAATTACAGCAATAAGAAATAAAAAAGGGTTTTTATTTCTTTTATTTCTCTAAGGGTTTTTCTGAGGCATTTTCATTTTTCCTTGTTTAACTACTGCTTTTACCAGTCATTTAATCTGACATTCTGCTGGTGGCTGCAGCCCACAGTCAGAGTGTTCAAACTGAGCTGGCATGTACCTAAGCTGCCTTCTGAACAAGGCAGTATCTGCTGAAGCTTTTTCAAACTCACCTCACTGAGTAGATGTGGAACATTCAAGCAGTGTGTCGCCCTGCCTGGTGTTTAGACAGCAACTCTTGGAGGAAGAGAGTCATTAGAAGAACTAATACTAGGACATCTGCAGATGGACACTATCTGAGCAGAACTCCTACACCACCAAAGTGCCTAAGATGAAAATTAACCCCCTAAATCAGACCGCCTGTCTACTTTAGCGCTCCCTTAATCTATCTGGGCTGCAGGATCAGGAGATTTCACCATGTCTACAATTGAGGCAGGCAGATCAGAAAACATACCTTGTCTTTGATTTTTCTGGCTATTAAGTAAAAGAGAAAATGGAGCCTGAGACACATTTTCCTTTAACATCTACAGCCTCATCCTCAATATGTCACATAGTGTTATGTGGGCCACAACAGGTTTTGTTTCAGCATGCTGTTTCTCTGACACAGACTTTTTTCTACATGATGTAGATCTTCATGACTTCAAGAATTCTGCTCCCATTTTAGAGTTTACAACTGTATTTTATGTATGTTACCAAGGTTTACAAGTGAGCAGTGCAGTGCTGCTGCAGAAATGTGGTAGCAACAAATTTTTGAAGGACCCAGGAAACTGAGTACTGCTGAGAAGGCAGACTTCTCAGCTCAGTATGTATCTGTGCACAAAAAATGTCCTTTCTGCATGTGGTCAAGGGGCACAGTTGGGCTAAAAATGAATCCTGGATAACAGCCTCAAGAAGGCAAGGGGCTTGTAAGCTGTAAGAATCATGGGAGTCACAGTGCACACCTCTTTCTTGCATGTGTTCCCCATAACAGAGCCTCAGCTGTTACTGCACATGGCTTGATTTTAGCAGGCTGATTTAATATTTACAGAGTGCCAATAAAATTTATAGGACGACAGCTGGTGGCTCCTGTGGTAATTTATAAACAGCAACAACAACACAACACAGACATCAGAAAATCCAAGAGGAATTCTATGCCATTGTGCAATATTCAGTATTGAAGAAGGTGAATAATTTTGCAGACTTCTAATGATCTTTCTGTAATGCATCTATATTGGATTTTATTTAAATCCATATTATGCAAAGCTAGGACTCCCATAGGTATGTTTTCCCACACAGAATGTAGTTAATCACAAAGACTCATTATCTATCTATCTAGATTTGATAACCTGGCAAAAGAGTCAGATAGTATCTCCAGGTCAAGACTTTTCACTTGGGAAGTCCAGCACACAACTGCCTGCTTTTCCTCCTGCAAAGTGCTTTCTCAAAAAAAAAAAAAAAAATTAACAAAAGGGGAATACTGTGCTATGACTAAAAGAAAAGACCACTGCCCTTGTTCCATAACCTAGGTATACATCCCATTCCTGAATAGAAAAAAATATAACCTGCCTGGCAGGACTACAGGTCTAAAGACTGGCCATTATCTGTGTACCACAGCAGAAATGCAAATGCTTGGTATTCAAATGGAAGATAATATTACTGACTGATTCTTTTTCATTCCATATGAAATCATACTATTATTCTTTTCTTATATTTCCATTTTACTTCCCAAGAACATGGTTTTCTTTAAATTTCTTGATTGCTTTGTTTTGGTTTTTTTTCCCCATTGAAATGAATTCTTCCGTGAAAAATTTTCACAGCTTATTAGGTCTTTTATATATAGACATATATATATACATATATATATATATGAAATTTGTCATGGAATAGAGCCAGAGGCTGTTTTTTGTTATTTTTAAATATTTATAAAAGAACAACTTCAGTTTTTCTTTTCCCCTTTATAACAGACATATTAACAGTCCAATTAATAAGTCCATTATTTTCAGTGTTACCTGCTCCTACTGACATATACAGATTGTTCTGAAAGATTTGATTTTCTCTGATCTGATCTTCTCTGAACCTGGAACATGCTTCTTTCTTCTTCCAGACAACCTCCAGTTTCTGCTACAAATAGAGCAACTTTAGATTGAAATGTTAACAATTGCCCTGTGTAATATTTTTTTTAATTTTTATTTGTCTTGTTGTTGTTGGGTTTTATTTGTTTTTTTTCCCCCTGGAATAATCATGTTATGATTAAGTTTTAGGAAGAATCTGATCAGTAATAAAGGTGAGTTTTCGGCATTGGTAGTCTTCACAACATTACTCCATCTATTTCATCCATCATTGTGAAGGAAAACTGCTCCAGGGTAAGAGCCCATCAATTTACAGTGGGAACTATGCCATTCAGACAGATGGGGTACCTTTAGATAGCCAAAAGATCATATATGTTCATCAGCAATGGGTGCTCGAGGCACGATTCACAGCTGGGAACACTGAAAATTTTGTATGTTACAAGCTGTCGGTGGCTCTTATCCAAAGGTAATCCCTTGCAGGTCTGAATTATCTTTTTAAAATGTTGACTGGCTTCTGCAGACAGGTAAGGGTTCTATGTGAGCAAGGGGCACAGCACAGCAGGCGACCTGAATGTCATAAAAATGTTCCAACTGGTCTGAGCTGATTGAGGGGAGAGGCAAGGATGCAAAGCACAGAATTACAAGAGTAGTTCTTCCTTCATGAGCATGAAGAAGTTGTGTTTAACAAATGGTTGTGTTTAACAAATGGTTCTTATCACTTTCATGCATTTATACACAACATGATTTGACCACGCACCACATAACCCACATTCATGCTGCTATTCTGGAAAACAGCAATAAATCTACTGTGTCACCATCCAGCAGACTCTTTCTTGATTTAGGTGTCCCGGGAGTTGGTCTTGCTACAACCACCAATGCCAGATAACAGCAGGGTTTTGCTAGAGGTGTTGAAACTACTGGGATTCTGATGTTATCTTCATAGTCCAGAGGCATTTTTCTTCTTCATGGGTGGCTTTATGATTCTGAGAGACGAGACAGAATATAAGAGGTCCTTATTTGCAAGGTGGGGGTGTCCTCCTCCTTGGGAGGTGTCCTCCTCCTTGCGGTGGGCTGGGGCCTTTCACTTACCCCGTGAAACCATGGTTATGTGCTATACAAGGTAAAGCAAGTCTCTCTTAATGAAGCTAGTGTTATTTTATACTATTAGCTTCAAGCTATGAGGCCTCGCTCGGGCAGCTGCCAGATTCTCCTAGGAGCAGCCTGGAGACTGAGGAAGAGGCCTTGTCTGCAGGGCTCATTTTTCACAGGGATTGCAAAGGGACGCTGCAAAAATGAAAAACGGAAAAGGCTCATGCTGACTGAAGTCCTTGCTCGGGAACGAGCAAGTGACAGCGAGCTCCAGCCTCGGGGAAATGCGGCTGGTCGGGTTTCCCACCGGGCAGGGTAGACCACCGCTCCAGAGCGGCTCCTCCGGCGCTACACACACTCAGCACACAGACCCCGGCCGTGCCGGCCGTGCGCCCGCCTCTCGCACAGGAGGCCAGACGCCCACGCCCCGCGGCCGTGATGGGGGCAGCCGGTTCGGCTCGGGCGGGTTCGAAGGGCGGCTCTGCCGGCGCCGCTCCCTCCCTGAGGGGCGCGGTCCCGCCCGCCGGGGCGCTCGGAGCGCGCACGCGCCGCTGGAGCGGCGGAAGCCTACGGGTTGGTTCCGCCGCGTGCCCGGGCGGGGGGCGGCGCGCGCGACCCCCGCTGGCCCGGGAGCGGCGCCGCGGGCGGGCAGGGTCGGGCCGGGCCGGGCCGGGCCCGGCTGGGCGGGAGGGAGGGGCGGGGGCGGCGGCACCGGCACCCCCTCGGGCACGGCCCCGCCACGGCGGGCATGCTCCTGCGGGGCTTCCTCCATCGCTGCACCTCCCCTCCAGCGTTGCTGTTGTCTGTGCAGGGAGTTGGGTAGGGAAGCCCTGGGCAGAACTGCCGGGTATCTCCCCAGCTGTGAAGTGAGGAAATGGTGCTGTCGCTTTTATTTATGCAGGTCCAGGGTGCTGGTTGCCCTGTAAAGCAGGAGGAGGGGGTTCGGTGATACTGAGGTGGTAGTAGGAGAGGCACGAGGTTTGATTAGCTGTGTGGTCGGCAGCGCGGCTCAAGGAAATGCAATGGCCTTGGCGTCCCTGTATTTCGCACTTTCATTTCCCGGCTCTCGCAGTTAGTGAGATGATAAGCAGGTCTTCGCCTCAGACTGATGATCCAAACAGTAATGGTCTTAAAGTAACGTGCATTATCTGTCTACAAGTGGCTGTTTGGTCAGCAGTGGGTGAAGATAGATTTGATGGGCTTGTGATAAAGAGGGTTAGGTGTGCGTATGTGAATGTGAAGCCACATCCCTCTCCAAGCCCAAGTGACATTTTTTATAAATGAAGTAGTTGTTTACAGGTATGCTTTGCTAGATCCTATCAATGAAAAGTGACTGGGTGGGAATGTCTTGCCTACCTCAACAAACCTGTCAACAGCCACCTAGCAACTGCTTTGTGCCAATGTCTCTGCTGCAACCATCCGTTCTATAAACGCGAGAAGTGCCAGGTGTGTGGGGGTTTGTCATAGCACAAATATGCTGTTGCTTATGTTAACTGGCCATTCAGATACCTATTCTGTTTTGTTAAACGTAAGTCTTGCAAGAAGCTTAATGGCAGTTCTATTCTGACACGTGACATCCTTAAAATCTGGTTTGTAAAATAAATTCAGTTGATTGGTTCAAGTCCACCTTGTTTATTCCCATTAAAGTGTATTTTTTGTTTTAGTGTCACTAATCTTTGGCAGTAATTACTTAGATTTCAGGAAGGTCACTGGTGTGAAAATGCAGCGGGATCCAGAAATTGGGGAGGTCTGTTGATTGTTGTTGCCTTGCCCTAGTTATCACAAATATTATGAGAAGTGGCCTCTCTTGTGTTTCTATTCTCTGTTCTTTTTTCTGACTTGTTTAGGATACAGCCTTTTTAGAAAGTGGTGTTTCTTCCACTCTCAAAATATGTAATATGGTGCATAATATTGTTCAGTTTGTGTGGAGTCTTAAAATTGTCTTTCATGGCAAGCAAACAATGTTACTGATCTGTGTTGTTCTGTACTTGTTTAAGGACTTGTGAAAAAAGTCCTTAAAAGAAGTCCTTGACTTCTGCAAGTCAAATTTCAGAAGTCATACTTTTCTTAAGAAGCAGGGCTACAGTGAGGCAGAGTTTCTAGCTGTGTATCAGTGCAACACCCAGGAATGTGCGAGAAACAGGATGTCCCCAGAGCTGACTGTTGTGCTTCTTAGGCTGAGAAATTGAGTACTGCTCTTGTTGGGTGTATTTATGAAATATGGTTTCTAAAAATGTTTTGGGACATTCTTGATGCAAAATGGTATACTTTTTATTTTTCTAAGGTTGCATTCAAATGAGTCTATTAAAGCAATTTATATTTCACCTTAACATTTCTGGTTAGCACAGAACTTTCTCATTTCTTGCAACTGACTTTTCACCTGCCTTACTCATTCTGTAGTCTTAGTATTCTGTGGATGTCACATGAAGAGTCATATTGCAGGTGATTGTAGTGAACAAAATATTGAGTTTATGATATCATTGATGGAACTGTGCAGAAAGAAAAGGGTTAGGGAAAAATGCTGCCCACGCATCCTGTAATAAAGGTATTTTTTTTTGGAAAGGCAAGAAAATTCCCCATAATGTAGGAAAGACTCAGTCATGTTTTAGTGCAGCTGAAGCTTTTCATAGGCACAGCTACTGTTGGCTTTCAAATTATTTGTATTTGAGTTATTTATTTAGAAGAAATAGCTATAAGTTAGGGCACAAGGGAAGAAAACCACAAAAGCTCTAACATTAGTGCTCTGTATTTTCTCCTAAGCTATTTAACTGGAAAATTACTTTGCTTGGAGAATTTCATTGCTTGTGTGAATCCTGGATGTATGCAGATATAAATCACTTAATTGTTTCTCTCCATTTATTTGTTGTTAACCTTCTCATAGAGTTTTTTCTTTGCATATTGTAGTTTTTCTGATCAGAAATTATGAATTTTGAATAACAAAATTATATGAGATCAGTCATCTCTTTCTTTTGGCACTGTATTTGAAAGAGTAATACATTCACTTTGTTTGTGATTTAAATTTTAATCTAGTACTTCCTTCCTCGTTATCAGATTTTGAAGCTCTTACTTTTTCTTTATTCCTCACACTTTATATATTTATGCATGGTACATAAACCAAGGGATAGAGGGGAAAAAAATCACTTTGCCAGAGTAAGTCAATATATTGACATCATTTATTTGCTATTGCTGCTGAAGTATAATGAAAAATATAAAACTTAATTTACAATCATAGGAAACAGGAAACAAGTGTGTTTAACTGAAACACATTGGCAGTACTGCCGTTTTACACAGACATTTCTCTTTTAAAAAAATTAGACTTTTGAAATGGCCTAGAACTGAGATTTGAGAAATTCTAGTTAGAATTAACATGTTTGTTTGGAGACAGCTCTACTCAGTAAGGTGGGGTTTGAAAACCAAAATAGAAAGTAACCTGTTACATGCTGCCTTTCAAACAAATTATAATGGTTGTTTGCATATCACACTTTCAGGAGATAGAGAAGACAGATGAAAAATCACCCTGTCTTGAGAGTGACATCTGCATTTGTGTAGTTCTTGCTTAATTCTGGATTTTGCCATCCAAGGTATGGTATTGAGCATGGCTGAGGTTTGTTTGGGTTTTCTAATTATAAAAGTGAATATAGTCATGCAGGCAAAAGTAAGTTACTTAGGGATAAAAATTTGGGATGTATTTTCTTGATAGGCATTCTTACTGTTTTCTCCTGAATCCCTCTCACTGCTTATTGCTCACACATGGTACAAGTAGGTCACTCAGGAGCAAGTATTTCATTAATTATATCTCTGTTTTGCTTGTTGAGCTGTTATTCTGAGGAAGTGCTGTGAAGTCATGGAATCTCTGCTGCTCTGATAAGATGGAAAACAGATGGATTCCTCAGTGGTCAGCAGTGTTTCTAGCTGCATTTGGTTTTTTTGGCCTCTATATTTCTGTTAGTCTGCATGATTTTCCCGTTGTAAATTCATGGTGGTTACTCCCAGTCCCCTTCTTGTCCTTCATGTGTTTGAAAGTAGTTTCCAGGATTGTTTCCTTCACCTTCCCAGGGACCAGAGTAAGGCTAGTAGGCCTTTAGTTGCCTTGCTCCTCCTTCTTGTCCTTGAAAACAGGATTTTCATTGACACTTGTTTTCTTGAGTCTTCTGGAATGTTACCCATCAGCATAAAACTTCCAGACTTAGTTGAGAATGACTTCACAATGACAAAACCAGCTCTCTCAGCACTCAGATTGGCACCTCAGCAGGTCACATGGAAGTGACAGGTCCAGTTCACTTAAAAATTTGTTAATCTGATCCTCCCTCACTCAGACTAAGTGTTTTGTTTTCTGCACTTTCCCATGGGTCTCAGGGACCTGGAATTCCAGAAGGCAGGTCTTAACCATGAAAGAGCAAAATAAACAAGGTGCTTTGACATTTTTGTATGATTTTGATACTTTCGGCAGCAGGCTGGCGTTTCCTCTCTAGCCTTCCTTATGCTGCTCATGTACCTGTACAAATCTCTCTTGGAATTTCATATCTCTCACCAGCTCTAGGAGGACCTTGGTTTTCCCAGCTCTATCCTAGTGCACCTAAGTGGTGTTCCTGTGTCAGTTGTGTGCGCACACTTGGTGCAGTCCCACTTCACCTTGGTTTGGTTGGTTATAAGATCTCTGTTTTCCCCATCATCCTGCATCCTTTGCTTGTGAAATGTGACCGCCAACTTCCTCTGTCATCATTCTTTGTTTAAGTGTTCGCCTAGCTGATTAACCAGCCTCTTGGCAAAGATGCTCTCACCCATGTAATTTCAGGTGGATCTTGTTCCCCTTCACCCTCAGTTTTTGAGCCTTATAGGAGGTTCTATGGATGTAAATGCTGCACAACCACTTGCTCCTTTGCAGGATCTGTGTGCTTCTCCTCAAGTTCTTCCCCTTCATCAGCAGCATGAATGAGATACCACTTGTCTACTAGACTTTGGCCAACATCCTGTTAACTGTGTAGTCATGCTTGGTAAACTCCTGGTCTCCCCTGGCTGTGTCCATGGTGCCTGAATGGGAGAGCAGCTAAGGGTAATAGACTGAGGGCCAGACTACTACCAGCCTCAGTAGCAGTCAGTCTGTGGTATCCAGGACCCGGGCCCCTGGCAAGCAGCATACTTTGCCAGGTGACACGTTGGATCAGCAGGGGTGTCTTTGTCCCAGAAGCAGGGACCCATTGCTGTTCCTTACCCCATGCTGTTCCTCATACCCAGTATGGGTGCTGCTGCAGGACTCAGGCACAGATGGCTCAGCGGATTTCTTGGACAGAGCTTGCTGTCCATGTGTGCTGCCAGGGCTCAGACCCTGCTCTGTAGATCAGAGCTGCAGGCAGAACAGGAGCTGTCCTCCTGGTGCTGGAGCTCAGAGGCTTGACATGTCTGGCTTGACAAGCTGAGACTCTATTTGCTCCTCCTCTTGTGGTGGGGGTTTCTGTGGCTGCAAGAACTTGGTGGGGATCTGTATGGTGCTTGAATAGGAACACTGTTACATTAGAAAATAACAAGCAAAGGGTGATTATAAATAACACAAAGGAGAAGTGGGGAAAAATGGCAGCTTGTTTGAGCCTGATTTTGATTAGACATCTAAAAGAAGAAGAAAGGAAGACAATGAAATTTTTGAATAGTATTAAGTAAATTTTGAATCCATTTGAGGACAGTCAAACATGAAACAAGTAAGCAAAACCCTTGGAAACAGAGTTGTTTGATAAACAAAATTTTAGTGGAACAAGTAGGAGCTGAAAGGAATGGAAAGAAACCATCAGAAATGGAACAAGATTCCTGAAGCCCAGAAACTGGGCAAACTAACGGGTAAGAGAGTAGATTGGGATTATATATGCATTGCAGTAATAAAATATGTGTATGAAAGTAGTCTGACAAAAAAATAACAGTAATAACCCCTTCCGTCATAGTTGTGCTGGATAGTGGTTAGGACTTAGTGCTGTGTTATTGAGATTGGTTTATGAAGTTCAGAAGTTCACATTGTAGGACAAGGTGAGGTTTCTGCAGTCTAAAACCAAAAGGAAATCAGCCCACTAAAGTGTAAAGATGGAAACCTTGATGTTTTAAATGTGATTAATAGAAAATGTTCTTTTGTGTGATATTTTTAATAATCTGTGTGAAAGATGTCAGGGTAATTACTCCTTTCTCCTTTGGTTTGCTGTTAATGTCACCAAGGACGTTTTTTAAGCGAGGAAACCCTGAATTCTTAGTGATACTTTTGACTATTTTAGCATAAAATCTTTAAGAAAACAACCATGAAATACAGGGGAGACTGCAATAGATAGGTGGGGTGAATCTTTGTGGAACATAAATAATTCCCTATATTTCTTACTTGCTTTAAAACCTTTTTACTTAGATGGAAGGGTTTTCTTTGCTGCTGCCACCTGACTGACAGTTGCTGTTTTACCTATTGCTTAATAGTTTTCCCAGGTAGTGGTTTTACTTGCATCTTGGTGATAAATATTGCTTCTTGGCCAGATATATCTAATTAATGAATTCATAAAATGTTTTGCATGGTGCTTAAAAAATGTATGTGAAATGTTTTTTAAGTTTTTATGTAATTCCTTAAATCAACAGTTGATAGGTTTTTTTCTTTCTTACTTGGATGTACAAATTTGAATGTATGAACTGTATAGGTTGCACTATACTACTTAATTTACTCTTTTTAAAAAAAAATATTTTTTATTTATCTCTAGGATTATTGTCTTGGGTCGTGACAATTTATTATCTGTTTATGTTCAATGGGGCAACGGATTCACTTTGTGGTTGACCCTCAGGGTTGGTGCTGCATGGGCCTAATTATCTTTGTCTGGCTGTACAATACAATCTTCATCCCAAAGGTCATCCTTTTTCCTCATTATGAAGAGGGCAATATTTCAGTTGTGGCAGTTTTGTGTAAGTAATTTTAACTTTTTTCTACTACTAAAATAATGCTTCTACTTAATGTACATTAAAAAAAATCCTATCAGAAAATAAAAATTAGGGTGAAAGTAAAGACAAAAGGTAAGATAAAGGGTAAATGTAGTGGATGTGTCTTATGTTTTTGTGTTCTGAGAAGCTGCAGCACTTTATTTTGCAAGTGCTGTTGTAGAACTTGTTTTTGTGGAAACTGGTGAAAAGGCTGAATGTAGCTTTCAGGTCCTGTACTTAGAACTTGTTGACAGGATTTCAGGTTCACATCTGCGAGTGCCTGTCAGAATTTGGTGTGATAGTAGTGATGACTGGCAACAAGTTAAATTTTGTTAGTTTTGTCATATGTCCCTGTGTGGGTTAGCTCATACAGGTTTGGCTCATAGGTTTGCTGGGGAAAAGTCTTGAATTATGGCTGGAACAAACTTCAAGGTGAAGATGCACTGTTGGAAATATCTTCCATATGGGGGCTTTGAGGTGTGATACGATTGGTGTTTGTATGGTAAGATGATGGAGGAATTTCTGAAAAATGGTCAAAGTAGCACCTGCTGGTGCTATCAGAACTATTTACTACTTTTTTCGCTCTATTTATTGGGGAGTTCCTAATGTTGTGTACTTAATATCAAAAATATATCTGGAATTGAATGAGGAGGCTGAGTGTTTTCCAGCTCAGTTCTGGAGCATCTGTATTTTTTGATACAGTGTACTTTGCACGTATGAAAAAATCTAACAAATGCTTATTTATTTTTTAGGTTATTACTTCTGCTCATTGTTTTGTATAGCTTCATTATTTAGAGCCTCAGTAGCAGATCCAGGAAAACTACCTGAAAATCCAGAAATACCAATTACAGGTACATTAACTTGATTCTATATAATTGAATGAAAGTTATTTTAATAGCTTCAAAATAATTAGGAATACATTTGTGTTTATGAGACTTATTGGAAACCATGATCTGTCCTTGCTGAATAAAGTTACTATGTCACTGTTTTAAAGTTGTAAATTTCTAGCACCTTTCCTTTTCCTAGGAACCACTGTTCCTAGTTTCAAAACTTCTTTTTCTTAAACTTGTATTCTACCAGAAATTCTACCATTCTTCAGTTATGTAGGACCTTCTGCTAGAAAATTTTTCCACAGGAAGTTTTTTTTTTTTGCATTCTAGACTTTCAAACATTATGCATATACTACTAACTTGATAATGTTTAATGAAAAATGTTTATAGATAGCTAGCTATTTTAATTCTATATCTTTGGTCTTAGTAAATTTATATGATGTTGAAAATGGTGTTGGAAGGTAATCCTATGCTGGTTTTTGCCTGTGTATTTTTTGCTGTTTTTTTTCCAGAGTCTTATGATTGTATGGGCTGTTAACAAAAAACCTAAACCATGGTGCTAGTTACACTGCATTTGTATAAAGTAGCGACTTAAACTTTCTGTCCTTGCAAATTTATCCCACAATTCCTGTATGGTATCCAGTGCTCCAGTAGTTGGACGAAATTTAAAACCTTAATGATTCTCCACAGAAAAGGACAGCTATTATCTAATGCATAGAGCTTTTACTTAGGAGTTTAGAATGGAGTAGGGCTGTTAAACAGCATGAGCTTTGTCACATTAACAGATAACACTTTATGAATGAAGAAAATGTGTCCCATCCAGTGAGGCTGAATGCTTCAGTCTTGTCTTCAGATATGGTGAATGCCCAGAATAAAATTTTGTTCTCTTTTCCTGATGTTACTGAAAATCTAGGATGATGTGTTTGGAGACATGATCTTTTTAGCCTTAGTGCTGATGATATGATGTGCATGAAGTAGACAGTTTATTGTAGAAAGGAGTGTATCTCCCTAGGATTCAGATGTGTCACTACTAATTGCAGACAATCTCATGCCAGTGTTCTTTCTGCTTCTGGCAGCTGATCCTTTGATCCAGTAAAACATCAGGTGTTTCAGACTTGGGTTCTGGAGTCAGCAGTTTTGCTGCAGGGGGAGCAACATGGATTTTGCAACCTGAGCTGGAGAATGGAGACCCTCGCTAGTTACAGACAGTTACATTTATACTGGAGTTTTTATTTACTGTCAAAGTACCAGCAGCAGTGCAAATTCCCTTTGTACACAAAGGGTTTTTTCTAATGTGAGGTGTCTCTTTGCATAGCTCCCCAAACTTTGCATGCTCCATTCAGTCCATATGGCAGTCATACTTAATAAGTACTTCCGAAGGGGAAATGTTTAGGCTAGGTCATGACTTTGATATTTTGATTTGGTGCCTGATATATCAGGGTATTGTACTTTTGGAGGTAGTGCTTCAATTGTCTGGTGTGCTCTAGGCTGACAGGAGGATACATTTTTACACAGTGTAAATTGTGTTAAAAATGAGTTGGGGTGTTTCCGAACTCTTCTGGTATCTACCCTATTAGTGAGTGACACCTTTGTGACACTGGATTTATGCAAACAGATTGTAAATCAGTTTCCATCTGTCATTATTACTTGTTTAATGATCTCAGATATTGGGTTTCTTTACTTCCAGTGTCCAAATGTTATTTTGCAGGAAGAAAAACCAGATTAGAGCTGCCTGCAGGTGTCTCAGAAGTGCTAAATATAACTTTATTTTGTTTATATTGGGACAGTGTTTTTACAGTAGAAAATTTCAGAATGTCCTACTGTAAATATGAAGCTTTTTTCCCCTTTTTTTCCCTCTGTCCCTGAGATATGAGAAATTTTTGTGCCTCAAAAAAGATTGTTTAGGTAGAAACAATTTGAACAGTCAAAGTATTTCTCAGTCATCCACCTGTTTTCCTTAAAGACAGAAAATATATGCTTTTGTGACTGGAAGTATTTCAGTGTTAATCTTATTGTTTCCCATGTGAAGATGAAATTTTTGAACATATAATTTGAATTCTGCTTTTCAAAGAATTCCTCTAATTTGGATGGTGCATTTGGGATAAATAATAGACAAGCTGAGCAATCGTACTCCTGGTAGCTTCAGCTACTCAGTATCTCTGGATATTAGCTTTTAAAGAATCTCACATTAGTAATTTAAAAATAGTATATATTTGTATATACAACCCTAATCTTGATCTCTTTCTTTGCATGTCTTATATGTAAAATTGCATGTGGTGATTTGCATGTTATTAAAATGCTTTGAGATGGAAGATGCTCCTGAAGTGTTCACTGTGTGTCATCTTTTAGTTAGCTAGCAGAAGCAGTATTTCCTCAGGGGGTTCTGGAACAGCAGTGAGATTGTATCCTGATTCTGCCTAGCAGATAATTTTTTTCACAGTAGAAATGTAAGGAAATAATTGAGTTACAGTCTTCCTTGTCTGAGTAACAGGTTTGTTCTGTAATAATTACTTTGTAGAAATTTATAGGAAGAGAGGGCATTTTGGAGATGGAAACTGGCATGGAGTAGCAGTAATATCTTCCAGTTTAATTAAGGTCACAGTGGGAAAAAGCTTTTTATGTGGTGCTTATCCTTCTCAGATCATAGTAAGATTTGTTTTTTTAATTAGAGTTACAAACATACAGATTTATTATGAGTACGCATTGATTAACTGAGTTTAAATCTCTCTAATGTGTCTTTACATTTTCACCTAGAGCGAGAACATTGGGAGTTATGTAACAAGTGCAATATGATGAGACCAAAGCGTTCACACCATTGCAGTCGCTGTGGACATTGTGTGAGGAGGATGGATCACCACTGTCCATGGTAAAATCAGGACATTTCTTCTAATTATCTACTGTTTTAGTGAATCATTCTGAAATTTGTGGTCTTGACTGCTGCTCATTTTTCCTGGTTTTTTTCCTTGTAGTGCTTAATCATTTAGGCATATAAAGCAAGGAAGTAATAAATTTGAACTTTCCTATATCTACCAGTAAAAATCAGAGTAAGTGAAAATAAACATTTTTGAAAGAAGTTCTGAGTTATAATTTTTACAAGACAAATTGCGGAGTACAAAAATGACATCAGGATTCTCTTACATTGGTTTAGCCATTTTTCAAACTACCTTTTTTTGTCAAGTTTTTCTGCTTCAGAGGATAGTACTAGTATAGTGCTTTTGTCACTCTGGTTTAGCTTGTTGTCTGTGCCAATGCTTGTATGAATTTGCATCCATGTAACTTTTGATCTTGTACTTAATACAGATAGAATCCTTGTGTTTCCTTTACACTTTTCATGTTGGAATATGCAGGAGTTTCTGAGTATGGATGCCTCTGTTGTCTTCTGTGCCTTTGGTTCATTTTTAAGTCATATTTCTTTGTTACTGGGTTAGCCTGTCATCACATTTATTTTAAAACATTTGTTTGCGTTTTTGCACTCTTGTAGTTTACAAACTGTGAAATGTATTGAGTAGCAGAAGATAAAATAATTTTATTACTAGATTTTTACTTAAAGTTGCAGCAGTATCTTTGCTATATAAAAATACAGAAAACTGTGTCTCCTGTTCTAAGCAATGATCTTGGTAGTGCAATCTATGCTTTAAGTTGTGGTGCAAGGGATCCAGTAGTTTGCTCCTTAAGAAATCATAAAGTTTTCTATTCACGGTATCATAACTTTAGTATTTGTATTTCTGTTTTTATATATGCACACTTTGTTTCTCTACAGGATTAATAATTGTGTTGGTGAAGACAATCATTGGCTGTTTTTGCAGCTATGTTTCTACACTCAGATCCTTAGTTCCTATACGCTGATACTTGACTTCTGCCATTACTACTACTTTTTGCCTCTGAAAAAAGAAAACTGGGTAAGAACCTGTTTTCTCTGTGAAGGGAACAAGTAGTATTGCAATGTAATTTGTGTTGGCTTTTAGTTACTGCACATTTTTGGTAGCTCAGTTTCACTCTTAGTGAAGACAGTTCAACTAGCTGTATGTTATTAAGTAAGCAAACTGATTTACAGTAAGTAACAAAATATTTTTATGAAAGGGTATATGAGTTCTTTGTGTTAAAAACACAACATTAGTTCTCTTAGGAATATGGGAAAGGAGGGAAGAACCAATTAGCTTTCTTTGGAAATGATTATCAGTACTGGAAAGAGTACTTTAGATGTATTAAATCTTCCTTTTACTTTTCCAAAGTAGATTTATGCAGAATATATAGCTATCCTAATATGATGTTTTAAAAAGCAGTATCAGCTTTTTTAAGAAAGGAAAGAAGAACACATGATCATTCTGCAAGGGGTAAAATATACATTGGTTTTGTAGCAGCATTTTCTGTTGCTTTGAAAAGGTTATGTGGGTTAAGGGAGAATTAAGTTTGGTTTGTTTCATATGGACTTACTGACTGGAGTAGAGTAAAAAATCAAGGTCTTCCTTCCCCTATGAAACTTACATTGTAGAGCTCCTATCTGGTGCTCATTTATGTCTATTATCTGTAGTATTCAGAATATTGAAGATGGTTGCTTGAAATTTGCTCAGTGCTTGAAAGTTCTTTCTTTATAAGAAAACTGTTATACTATTTTGCTTATGAAGAACCATAAGAACTTCAAGCTTAAATCTGAAATGAACTTTGTATTTGTACTGGACTATAACAAATACAAGTACACGAAAGAGAAAAACCTAGAAAACAAGTTTAAAACATTTTAAAAATTAGGTAACATTCCAAATGTCATACGAGAATAAGATTATCTCAGATATTACACTCTAAATTTTGGTGAGATTTTTTCAAAATACTGAAGTGCAGAAGATTTTTAAATTCTGTGTCGATGTGACACCCCAGCATGCTCTCTGCTGGCGATGTCATACTCATCTTTCCAGGCTACTGGAACCTGACCCTTTGCTGTGGGTAAGGCACAAAAAAAATTCCGTTTTTTTGAACAACTTAAGTTTGTCATATGATTTTGTATCCTATGTTATGTGAGAATTTCACTTTGTGAAAAATTCTGCTTCTGGAAAAAGATGCGACATAGTCTTCCAAGCTTCTTATTTGTTCCTGTGTCAGTCTGAACTGGGTGTGATGTTCCCATAGAAGTGTATGTGAAGATGATGTGATAAAGGAGAGCTGAAAGTGTAGGAAGACTGTATTACTTGGTTAATCCAAAGCTGATAAAAGTGCTATATTCAAATTCATAAATACCAAGTTTTTATTATGTAGAACGTTTCAAAGTTGAGGATTTTTGTAACTCATTCTTGAAAGAAATTGTATTCTAAAGGAATTTAATTATTTTTTCCATCTACATCAATACTTCCATTTAAATCATTAAAAGGATTTTAGAAATATGGAACAGAAAATAATTTGCTGTCTGCTTGGAGCATCTTTCCATAGGCACTGAAACAGACTTGTTAGACTCTAATAGTATAATGTCATGATAAGGTATTTCCTTTTTATTGTGAATATTCCCGGAATGCATTGTTTCCTGTAATTACACTGTTTTAGGTAACATGCCAAAGTTCTGTCTGTTAGCCTTGCTTTTTAAAAGTAGTGTGAAAAGTAACCAAATTATTTGATTGAGGTGGTCTATGCAAGAGAGGGAAATGGAAATCATGTTTACTTCAGATACTTTACAATACCTAAGGAGGTAATGATAAATAATTATTTATAATGACAGTTCAAAAAACAAGTGTGAATATGTATAAAACTTGTACTTGCCGGTATAACTGGATTCATTTGAAGTTGTTTGGAGAGAGGCCTAATTTTAGTGCTCCTGCTCCTTTGACAGGTGACAGGTTAGAAGGCAGAATACATATGCAACAATTATTTTAATGCATTGTAATGTGTTTCCCTGAAGAGGGGCTCAGGTTCTTGTATTTGGCTGCCTAACTTTACAGAGAACTGGGGAAGAAATTGCTTACTTTGCTCTGTTTTGTTACTTTCCATATGTGAACACTTCAAATGGCACTCTTCCTTTTACGAAGTGGATCTGTGCTATAGTATACAGTATTCTGTGCCCCAGAGAGGAAAAATATGTTTATACAATATAGAAAAACAGTAGACACAGCCGGTCTGGGCTGTTAAGACCTTTGTTAAGTATTAGTGTAAATACTAAATAGTATTTAGCTTTCTCAGTTTTCCAGCTGTAGAATAGGAGAGCACACAGCGAAGTAGAGAAAGCTGAAATAGTTGTCATGCTTAGTCAACATATCTGCCTGGAAAACAACACCAGAACTCCATGAAGCTTTTTTTTTTAAGTGCTGCTAAGGATGTGATGCTGTGTAGATTTGTGCCACGGAATAATTTGTCAGAACTATGTCTTTTTGACACCAAAGGAACAGGACTGGTGAAAAGATAGGCTTAGTAGTAGTTAGGGTTTTAGGCAAGCATTCTGCAAGATTCTTTTTATCTCCTTTATATCAACTAAAGCTGAGATACCACAGCATTCCAGAGGTACCTTCAGCCTTTCACAAAAGCACAGTTCTTTGTTGAAATTTTGGCTGTAACTGGGAGCTTACATTTTCTGAATTTACAGGGACTAGTGTTTAGAACAGATTCAAAGAACTGGATGATTTTTTTTTCCAAAAAACCATCTGGAATAAGCTTATTCTTGCTCATTAAAATGCTTGTGAATTTTTTGGCAGTGTGCCTTCATCTACATTTTCATTCTTCAGATATAAAGTAGTACAAAACATGGAAGTTGTAGAATTAAAATTGCTTTTAGTGCTGTTGTGAAATGATAATTTTATTACAGTACTGATTAAGGCATTATGCAAATTTGGCCAGCATGTTAGTATCTCTTTCCAAATTTGAATTTGTGTTGTTTTTTTTTTTTTTAAAGGGTCAAGAAAGAAAACCCCCAAAATTTTAAATTAACTATTCTGAGTTAAGGGTGAAAGCTCTAAAGGTAATGGAGGAAGATGTTTCTGTAGAGATACAATCTTTCACCTTCACCTCTTACTGCAGAAAATTGCTTCATGGTAGTCTTAGTTCTTGTAACATACACTGCCAGAAATTTAGGTTATGGTTGTTACCTCTGTTTGTCCAGCAGGAGGAGTGCAATTACTGCTAGAAATAAAGGAGATGATTGTTAAATTGATTATGTGGGGTGATAGCTCAAGACAAAATATATTGTTCGAATAAAATCAGCATATTAGTTCTTCTGCAGGCATTGGTGATTTACAGAGGTTAACGCAGGAATATTCTTAATTTTACATCTTCATGAAAAAATGTCAGGAAGTCTGTGTATTTTAGGAAGTAGTCAGTCTTCTGAATAGTGAGATGAGAAGAATAAATACTAGACTTACAACTACATAGTTGCTCTCTCCATGGCTGTGCTGGCACAGATTCTAGATACAGCTGGTCCTATTGCAAAAGTAAATGCTTTGGCAGAATATTTTACCTTATTTATAGAAGGCTTTTAATATTTTAAGCAAAAGGAATTCTGCTGATACATTCTGTTTGCTAGAAATTTTGCTACAATAATTGTCATAGCCAAACCTCTTAACATATAAAAACCTAGGCCCCTTTGCTCTGATTTAGTTTTATTTTGTTCCTGTTTCTGCAATTGCAAATCATTGTCTTTGCATTGGAAAAGGATTTTTTTCAGTAATCTTAATATTATGCATTGACTAATATTAATGAAAATCTGGAAATATGTATCATCCAAAGGGAACTTCTTCTCTTTTTAAAAATGAAAAACATCAAAATTTTTCTTCTCAGCATTCTGCAAAACCAACCCAGACCTGCTGTCCTTCACTATGGTTGTAAGGACAGTACATGAATATTGAATTAAGTCCTTCCTCTTTCTTTCTAAAAAACCTGCAGTCTGTATTTTTAGTTTGCTTTCTGGAAAGCCTGACTTTCTTTTGTATTATACACTATTTTTGCAATACCCAAGTTGATAGACTGACCTCATTTACTACTGAGCACAGACAACCAGGTTATCATGTGTTACACAAAATATTGTCACCAAGAAAAAAAGAGGGCTTTTTATGTATTTTCTTGTATATTAATCTGTGTGTGTCATATTTCAGTAAAAAATAAAGATTGAATAAATTAATCTTCCATTGTAAATGAAAAATTATGAAGATGATCTCTTTTGGAACAGATACAATAGTCCTGTGTTTCCTGCCAAAAGCTCTGTCCTCAGGACAGTATGCTGCTTTAAAAGAATACTGTAAATCCTTGAAAACAATAACACAGTAATGCACATGGCAGGGACTTGTTATATGTTTTTAAGATTTTTTTTTGTTGTTATTGTTGGTAGGGGACAAAGAGAGTTGAATTTGGAAGTGTTGGTTTTATAATGGACTACAATCTAGAGCTGGACCCATTGTGGTTTTTGACCTCTCTCCTGTATGATAGCATAAAGCCATGGTAGCTGTTGTTCTAGTCAGTGGTAGCATTGATTCTAGTGGTTGATGCTCACAAATGAAGATGAGGCATGTTTTCTGCTGTGGGGTTGAGGAAGTCCCTTGTTTATCTGCCCCAGAGACTTTCTGTAGAATGTATTAATATTGTCTGTTGAGATAAAGATACCAGATCTTGTGGTTTGTAGTCTATTTTTCAACATAATCCTATAACCTACACATGTTTTGTGACAAGTTCTTATTGTTCACATTTCTGTGCATTTTTATGGGTAACTAAGAATCCTTGCAGTTTTACTGGATGGATAGAAGTAGCAGCTAAATGGAATTTAGAAACCTTTGGAACAGGCAGCAGCCAATGGGGAGTGCTGTGTGGTGTGGTGTAGGAGAAGTAGAAAGGCAGTGGCAGCAACCCATGTGAGCATGAAGTTTTGGCAGACCACTTAGGCTGTGGAGCTGACATAAAGAAGATTAGAAAGAGGCTATGTGAAGGCAAGCTCTCATGTTGTTAAGAATATGCTTTTAGCATCTGTGCCAAGGCCATATGTGACAGCCAGCCTGGCACAATGTAGAAAAAAACTGCTGTGGAGCAAAACCCTGTTGTGCTATGATAGCTGAATCTTCATGCACTGGTGATGTCAGCTATCTGTGTGTATGCTTGATGGCTCAGTCTGTACAGTTCTTTCTGTTAGCAGAAGTAGCCTGCACCGCAAACTCCAAAATCACACTAAGTCAGTACTCACACTGCACTGATATTGGTGAATACTGTTGAACAAGAGGATCTGTTCAAAACACATTGAAAGAGGGATTGGTTCATTATTGACTAGTTTTGATTATTTATAGTTTTGATTGGCTTTCTCATCTGAAAAAGAGTTACTGTCTAAGTTTTAAAAAGGGATAATAAAACCAACTTGCATTGAGCTTTCATGCAAAGCTGCAGCATCCTGAGTACATCATCATCATCATCATCATTATTATTATTATTATTGCTTTTTAAAATGGTCTTTTCTTCTGTTTTCATGGAGGTAAATATTTCTGTTCCCATGTAGAATTGTGTAATTCATTCTATTATTAAAGTCTGATTACCAAAAAGCTCAGTTACTGCATATACTGTGGTTTTCTGTAGAAAAATGTTGTTCTGTCTGTAGAGATTTGAGTGCTCAGTATTGATTTCCAGTTCATAATTGCTTAGGAATTAATTTGCTAGGGATGTGGAAAAAGAGAGAGGGCCTCTGGGAGGATTATAGGGGTATGGAAGGGAATGCAGGGATACAACAAGGAAAGGCAAGGCCCGTTGGAATAAAGTCTGTTGAGGGATATCAATGACCACAAGAAAAGCATCTACAAGTATATCAGCAACAAAACAAGGATTAGAAAGATCCCCACCAATGTGGAGATGCTGCTGAATTTAGATGGGTAACCTGGTGACAGAAGACACAAAGAGGGCAAAGTGAATTACTGCTTTGCCTCAGACTTCACTGCTGCGGCCATCCTTCGAGAATCCCAGACCCTGGAGGCAAGAGAGGAAGGCTGGAGAAAAGAATACTTGCCCTTGGCCACTGAAGGTTTGTTTAGAGATTGGCTAGGCAGACAAAACCACAAATCCATGGGCCTGATGGGTTGCACACACAGGTGCTGAGGGAGCTGGCAGATGTTGTTGCTAAGCCCACTCTGCATCTTCTTTGAAAAGTAATGAAGAAATACAACTAGTATAAGTTGTGTCTTACCTTGCTTTTCTTTAAAGCTTTCATTAGCTAATGGAAAGGGAAATAAAGAATAGTGTGACTGCTTTTATTTTGAGTTGATTTATCTTTGAATTAACTCATTAAATGAGTAAGAAGCATTAAAAGAAATGGAAATGAGTCTATTTTCTACAGCAGCAAGAAAGGCCAGTATAAACAAGTGAGGGGAGAGGGGATGAACCATTACCATAGTTCAGAAATTACTGTTGGGGATTGTTTTTTGTTTTTGCTGCTTAACTAGTGCTTTCTGCTTGTTCATTAAATACTGACTTTCTTCACAGCTTTAGTAGGCATATTTTGGATCTTCATGGAAATTACTTAAATGAAAAATTAGATTTTTTTCTTTTTGCTAAACATAATTTGCATTAACTGTTCTCTGTTTAATGAAAACCCAGTATCCCTCTTCCTCAAGTTCTAGTGGTTGAACATAAACGGGGGGGGTTTTTTTTTTGTTGGTTAGGGTTTTTTTTTGTTTTGTTTCATTTTTTCGTTCAGTTCTCTTCTATATTCTGGTTGTAATATAAAGTTCACTTGAAAGGGTTTAATACTTTCCTGCCATGATCTAACTTCTGTAAGTGAAAAAACCGATGTGTATATTCGAACAACAGCTCTGAGAACATAAATATAACTTAAAAATAAGAGAATGGGGTCTGAACTCACAGTACACCTAATGCCATGTAAAAATGTTCTTCTGTGATTAAAATAAGGTGCTCTATCCTTTGAAGATATTACATAACATCCTGTAATACTTTTTATATTTTCTGCTGGTTGAGAATAGACTTTCCAATGCAGCTGATTGAATACATCCATATTTCTGTGTGCCCTGAAGCATCTGTACTGTTCATCCTTATCCAAAGTCGCAGCAATCCAACTCTAGGCCAAAATTTAAAAGTTGGAGATAAGTTTATATTGGATAATAGATAGCACCACAGTAAGAACAATCTAGTAGGGGTACTTGGACTTTATGGGTACAGTCTTCAAATGTCAATCTTGGAATGTTTGTTTTCTTTCAGAAGAGGTGATGTAAAAATGAAATGAGCTGTGCCTGGTAGCCGAGTTATAATAAACCAGACCATTTAACAGGAGTAGTTTTCCTGTATTATATAGCTTGTGTGTAGTAGTTTGGCACAGTTTGAGATGGAAGATTCAGAAATAATCCGTTTGAGCTTGATCTATTTCCAAAACCTTAACTACTTGAAGGAGTTTTTTTAACAGTCTGGCAACATAAACCCCCAACTGTTAACAGGTATAAAGAAAATATTACTGGTTTCTGCTTTTAAAACATAAATAGACCAATGATGTGCAATGTAGCTCAGAATCCAATATTTGCCTTCAGCTTTAAGGCTTTGAGAACGCCTCTTACAGCTTATTTCTGCTTGATTCAAAGACTTTAATTAATTTGTAACTAAATTAAAGTCTCTCTCTTCTTTTTGTCTTGTTCTAGGATGTGTTTGTATTTAGACATGAACTTGCTCTCCTAAGAATATCTGCCTTCATGGGTCTAATAGTATTAGGTGGAATAAGTCGACTCTTTTACACTCAGCTAATGGGTATTTTCACTGTAAGTATCTAATTTGAGAAGTATATGTTAGTTTTATTTTCAGTACAATTAGTCAAAGCAGAAGTGTCTAATAATATCCCTTTCAGTCAGTTTCGTGATTTGTATTAGTAAAATGGACTCATACCTTGTCCTGGAATTGCACAGTGTACAAGATATGTAGTTGATTCTTGTTTTTATTTTAAACTCTTGTGTAGCCTGGTCAAAATTTATGTGACAGTGAGGCTAACTGATAAATCACATTTTGAGAACAGACAGCATCTTTGTTAAGCATTTTGATAAATATGCTTATGTTCATCTCTTTATTTGCTAAACTGCAATGTAATCGTGCTGTTTACAGTCCAGGTGGGTATTCTGCATTTACATATACAGAAAAAAATACCCTCTGCATGGAAAAATTTTTCAGTTAAGTGAATTTGATAATGTAATAAATACTTGCAAGAAACAACCTTTATTTGGCATAATATCCTGTTCTGTACATTAGAAGTTAATAGCTGTCAGCAAATTTTTGAAGTTGTCTTGAGAATCCATACAAATATTTAAAATATTGTTCAGCACGACAGAGAGAGTACATTAGTTACATTAGTTACATATACATGTTGAAAGAGTCTGATATGGCCTGCTGAACTTTTTTTAAAGGCAATAATGTACAAGATGGCAGCATATTTTCGGCTACAACTGTTGGAGATCTGCCTGAGATTTCACTTTGGAATGTTACTTATGAAGGTTTGCATAGCATTAACTTTTATAGGTCCATAATGGAAAACTTCCCAACTGTATGGTGTAATTCTTTTGTATTGAATAAAGAAAAAAAAACCTACAGTGTAGTTTTAAATTATGTTAGATAAAGCAATAATACTGCTTTTTAGTTTTACTGTATTACTTTTACATATTTACTGCCTTTTGCTTTTTCTGTCATGGTAGTTACACTGTCTATTATTATTACCATTATTACTGTCTATTATTATTACTGTTCCCCAGCTACTCTACCATAATGTGTTTTACACATGCTCTCAACCCCCAGCTCAACAGATTTACCTTTGTGCACCTTTACTGTGTGCCTGATTTCTGTTCCGGGGTCTTGCTGACAGGTTTTCTCTTCCCTGTTTAAATGTTGCCTTTATGTCTGCATTATCTAGGGCTGGGATGTTTTCCTATACCACCTCTAAGGTGGCTGTCTAGCTGATGTGGTTAATTCTGCTCACCAGTAACAGGTGAGACAGAGACAACTACTTAGTGAGCCTAATTGTTAGGTACTGAAATATGGATGTTGTTTTAGTTTCTGTTAAGTGGATATATATATGAGAAGGATCAAAAAACTCATCTGATCAGACTGCACTAAACCACAGATAGGATACAGAAGAAAACAAGAAAACCAGACCCTAAGTTTATAATTTTGTTCTGTGTGCTGCCAGAAGCTGGACTAAATTTTAGCAGTGACCATCAGCACCCATTCAGGTACTATTACTGGATGTGAAATATGACCTCTCAGACTGAACCTATTTCTGTCAGATATACCTGAAACCTGGGCTGTTTCTGTTCTGACACAGGATACTAACTGCACTGCCACTGTAACAGGCACGAATGCCCAGTTGTAACTTTGCTGTCCTGAGCTTTAACACTTTCAGGCCTCTGCCGCCGCTGCACTCTATAAACTGCTGTAAAGTCTTTTTTTCTCTGTCTGTTGTACATACCATGAAGTACATCCTATTCACTTACAGAGTTGGCAGCTACACTGGACCAGGTGTGGGGTATAGCATTTTTACCTCCAGTTTTTCTGCTGAAATCATAGCTGTTGAGCTGCAGTATGTCTGGATAGTTTTTTCTGTTGTCTTTGCTGAGCTTTGTGAAACAACCATGCTACAGTAATTGTGGATGTGGATGGTCTATGAGAGGCAGATGCTAAAAAGTACAGATCTTCATTAGGGCCTCTTATTGCACCCTACCTGTTGCCCCAAAAGCAGAAGGGCTATTGTCACATGGACAAGTTTTTAGGCTTGATGGGATTGCTGGGGAAGTAGAAATCCATTACTGGTGTATCTCCAATATTAATTCATTCACACTATGTGGATGCTGTTGCATTGACTCATTGAAGAATATAGGTCATGTAGTCCATCCCCCACTCAGAGCATTTCATACCAGCAGCACAATTGTCTTCTCCCTTTTCATTCCTTTCTTTGCAAATACAGAATTAGGAAGTATAAGTAATACCGTTGTTTTGAGGAACTCTGCTTGGCAACAGTTAGTCAGACTTCAAACAAACAAAGCAAGTCCGTTTGGTGCAGTTGTGATTAGTCTACAAGTGGTGTAAGAACTGAAATGAGCTGTATATTAAATGTGGAATTTGTGATGAAATTAACTTACTATAAGGTATAGATTGATAGCAGAACCCAATCATGAAAGTGTAATATGAAGAAAAGCACCTTGAAACAAACTTAAGATGCTTGAAGGCATGGATATGCAGTTAAAGCACTCACGTCATATGAATTGCTCCATGGCTATTCTTGAAAGCATTAATTTTAGTGATTGCTAAAGCTGCCTAGAGATGTGTGCAAGGGAAAAGAACATGGACCTTTTGATACAGGCAAAGCAATTCTTGTGCTTGTATGGGAGAGCAGGTAATACACATTTTTGTAGTTCATGCTCTTGTGCCTCCTTTTTGCAGTTTAACATGTACCAAGATTAATTCCGCAGCTCCTGGAAAAAAAAGCTGGTTTTAAATAGTATAGACAGTAAGTGTTGCAGCTCTGTGATCTAAACTTTGGTGGGTGCAAACTGCTGCTGAACAAGCCCAGCAGGTTCAATGGTGTTTAACATTACAAGTGCTGCAAAAATTTTTGGAAAGAAATTTTAGATATATAAATCTAAGATTAATCAAACTTTAACTCTTTTGTAACAAGACTGCCTGCTTTTCCATAAGGTAAACTTGCTTGACCATCATTACATTATTTTCCAGAAATTAAGCCAGTATCTGTTGATATTGGTAATATCTATTTCAAGATGCTTGGAAAAAATGTGCTCTCTGGTAAGAATGAAAACTTTGTAAGCTGTGTACTAAAATTTGTCTCTTACAGGGAGAATGTTCCTGAGGCTGTAGTGCTTGATAAGGTGATTAATAGTCTAAGTAACCTACCACGCAGTAATTTCTCTGAGTACATTTGCCACCACTGTGACTGTGGTATCACTGTTAGGGTATCATTAGCACAAGGCTATTCATAACTCATTTGGAGGTCCAGGAAGCCAAAGAGCAAAGGAGGTGACTTCCTACAATGAGAGGAGAACAGCTGGTTGGCAAAAACTGTCCTTAGAGGAACTTTTGACATGAATTGTTCTGATGAAGAGGGGAGCAGCTGAGGTGGCCTCTGCATACAGGATTAGTGCTTTCTCCCTAGAAACTAGCATATGTGAAACACACTTCTGTCAGAAGGGGCACATGGCTCTTTTCGTCTTCCTTCCCCAGTTGCTTTCTCTGAGCTTTATTTGCCTCTAATTTTGTTATCATCCTGAACTTTGATACTTCTTCTAGCATGTACTTTACATTACTGTTGGGGAAGTTTTATTTGGATACTTTTGAAATAGAGGTAACTAGGTTCTCTGTAATTCATAAGCCTCTGAAATAGGGAGAAATTTAAAATCCTAGTTTAGAAACTCTAGGATTCTTAAGAAGATACTCCTCTTAAAATGTCATCAACAATTAGTATTTTTACTTAAAATTATTCAAGTTTTTACAGAACTGGATGGAAAAAATTGGTCTCACCCATGAATTAAAACACCGTCAAAGGTAATTTCCAAAATGATTATCCATTTATGTTGAAGGCCTGCCTGTCTCTAGTGCTTGTTACTTCCTTTACCACTCCTCTGTTTCCTCTCATTTCTTGTAGAGCAATTTAGAATGTTATATTCCTTAACTGGAGCCTGTGTTCTTACATTCTCAGACACCCTGATTTTTAAATGGCATTGTTTGAAAAGTAGAAGCAAACTTTTAAGTAAAACAGAAAAACATACCGGAAAGAATTTGTGAGTTGCACCTTACAAGGGTGCAACTCTTTTACTCTCCTATAGAAAGAACAATTTTAAAGATTATTGTTACTCTTTACTTCAGGGCCTCCTTTAGCTGCTTGTACTTTGGATTAGTCTTTGGCCTGAATCACTGCAGGTAACAAAATAGCTGCAGTGTAGACACTTAAAGCTCCATGAAGGTAGAGGTATGGGTTTTTATTGGTGCTTTGTCATAAGTCATAGAAGTATGATTTATAGGTAAAGTATCACTTTGTTCATTTCAGACAGTTTTAAAATCTTCTGGAGAAAAAAAAATACAAGACAATCTGTTGCTTGCACATATTAATGACATTGTATTAAAGTGACAAAACCAAAGTTTATCTAAAGTATTTTGCACTTAAGCTAGAAGAAAGTGTTAGAAGGATGTATTTGTGTTACTAATTTTTATTTCCATTTGGTTTTTTTATGTTGTTACATGAAATAATACAATTTATTGGGAAGCTAAATCAAATAGTACCCAGAAACTTGCTTGCTTTCTCAAAATATATTTTCTTGACATGTGTTTTTCAAGGATTTTTCTCTTATTTTTATATGTAACAGATGTTTTTTTATCTCAAAAGCCCCCATAACATGCCTATTTATTCATAGGAAAAGGCATTAATTCGCCAAGGGAAAAAAGTGTGTATTATCCACTCCAGATTGTTTCTCATGTATGGTTGTTGAAGGTACAGAGCTTTTTTAAAAAGAGTGCTTTGATTTGGTCTTTTTAAAAAAGGTGGAATGCCCGGGATGCTCGTGTGTATATTAATAGAAGATTAGCCCTGGCTTTTGCATTTCTCTCACTCATATTCCGTTATGGTTTTAAGAAATTTTTTCTCTGTGTCTTTCACGTTAAGAGTTAAATGATGATAAGCCCAGTTTTTCTGTTTATACTGCAGGATTCTTCTGTTGGTTATGTATGATCTATAAGGCATTACTACAAAACATGTAAAAAATGACATGGC